ACAGCGCAAGTCTATGTCAGTGCAGGGAAGGGGACAGACACCAAGTGGGCATCTTCTGCCCCCAGTTCCATGAAAGGACCCCCCAGCTCCCTCCCTTATGTGTTACCTTCACCCATTAGAGTAGAGGCTCTTTGAGGGAAGAGACTGTCTTTTTGCTTTTATTTATATTTATGGTGCAAATTTACATGAATAGTACCAGGCACATAGTAGGTGCTTAATAATGAGTGCTCCAGCTAATAATACTGAGGGTGAAGAGGCAGCCAGGCAAGCCTTCCACTCCCAGACTCCACCTTTGTCTACTTCCTCAATCACATGGAACCTTGTTGGAACCCTCATCCACACCTCTGGTCTTCGTGACTGCTCTCTGATTTCTTGGGGCATCTCCCCCACTCCAGCATCGGTTCATCTCCATCCCAACCCTGAACACTAGAGTCTGCTCTCACAGCCCCACCCCCCAATCCCTCTTACCCCAGCCCTTCACTCTTCTGGTTTTCTCCCTTAGTAATCCAGCATCATAATCATTGAATCAGAGCATTCTAGACTGTAGAGCAAAGAGGGCCTTAGCAGTCACTGAGTGCGACTACTTCATTTTACACACAAGCAAACTAGCCTGCTTTAACTAGTATCTCTACACAGATGACTCCCAAATGTAGATCTGTACCTCAGCCCTCTCCCCAGACCTCCAGGCCTTGACTTCCTAGTTGTCTACAGGACATCTGTCAGGTCGTCCCAGCAGCAGACTCTCTATGGCCAAAGTTGCATTTATTCATTCCTTCTTACCTTTTTTTCCCCCTTCCTTCCCAATGCACAACTTCTTTGAGTAGTCAAGCCAGCTTAGGGCAGCTTGGTGATGCAATGGGAAGAGCTCTTGGCCTGAATTCAGGAAGACTTGTGTTTGAACCTGACCTCAGACACTTATTAGATGTGAGAAATCTCTTGTTTCAGTTTCCTCATCTGTAAAATGGGGATAGTAATAACTCCTACATCCCAGGGTTGTTGTAAGGATCAAATGAGATAATATTTGTAAAATTCTAAGCACAGTAGCTGGCATGTAGTAAGTGCTATATAAAGGTTAGCCATTATTATTATTAGTAGTAGCAGCAGCAGCAGCAGCAGCGGTAGTAGTAGTAGTAGTAATAGTAGTTATTGTAGTGGTGATGGTGGTGGTGGTA